CGAGCCCCCCGCGCCGCGGGCTTGCGGGCCCCGGCAGGTCCCCCGAGGGTGGGCGGGGAGCTCCGTCTGGGTTGGGGATCCCGCACAGAGGGAGCTGATGGTCTGGGGAGGGAGGAAGGGGGGCTTGACTCGCAGAGTCCCCCACCCCACCCCACCCTGTGCGGGCCCCGCCGCGCCCTCCTCTCCGGTCCCCAGCGAGGTGCGGCGATCGCCCGGCGCGGCCTATTGGAGCTGCGGCCCGGCGAGGGGAGGCGACGCCCGGGCAGGGAGCGCAGAGGCCGAGGCCGGTCCTAACCCCAGCCCCTGCGCGGCTCAGCCCCGCCGCCTCTGCCGAAGGCTGGGGGTGGCGTAAGGCGTGCCATGAACAGCCCTGCCCCCGCCCCGGCCCTTCCCACACCCCTCGCCCGCCCCGCCGACCTCTCCCGCCTTCCAGTCCTCCCCCGTGCCCCGCCCCGTATCCCGCGTCCCGGGTCCCATTCGGGACGCGCCCGTGTGTGTCCCCACTCCGTGCCCCCCCCCCCGGCCCGCGCCGTGGGAAGACACCTTAACAGGTGTGAGCGATTCGCGAGCGGTGGGGCACCCCAGGCATCCTAGAAACCTGGGCCAGGCCTCGGCTGCGAGGGCCAAGTGGCCGGTGCCACTGGCCAGAGGCCGGGCCCAAGTCCAAACTGAGGCTGTGTAGTTACTGTTCTTGTTCAAAGCCGGCTGTGTCCCAGTCCCAGAGAGTAGAGCAAAGCAGAGACTGCCCCCACGGGCTTTGAAATGCAGCTCGGGGGAGACCTGATCCAAGTCTCCTGTCTCTCTGAGGAGCTGGGCTGCTTTCCTTAGGTCAAGGACAGAGGCCTGAAAGTCTCCCCCACCTCCCACCCCCGAGTTTGCAAAAGGATTTGGGGCCAGGTAGGGGTGGGCAAGAGGAAATGCATTGCTCTGGCTGTGCTGTGCTGGGTCTTACCCCAAGAGTAGCACTGTTCAGTCCACCCCTGGGTTTTGTCTATGCAGAATTGGGTCACCCTAGGAATGGAGAGGAAACTAGACTGCCAGGTCAGGCATTTCTTTTTCTGTCTTTCTTTCTTTTTCTTTCTCCTATCCCTCTTTTGCTTGCTTGTTTGTTTGTTTTCCTTTTCCTTTCTTTTTGGATGTGGAGAAGCTGGAGGGGGCGCAGAATGTTTGGTCTGCACTCCCCTCCCCCCCCCCCCAATTTTAAGTCAGGGAGGAATTGGAAAGAGTCTTAAAGGTAAATTATACTTATTACCTCCTTTGCCTCCTTCCCTTTCCTCCCTCCCTCCCTGTCCAAATTCATGTCTAGGCAGAAACTAGGTAACAGTTTTAATCTGTGAAGCGTTCAGATCCTCCCACGATAAAAATGTTTTATAGTTGTTTTTGTTTTTTTTTTTTCTTCTGGAAGCGCTCTCAGGGCAGGCCTTCCATTTCTAAGGCAACTTCACCTCTACACTTTCTTTTACTTACTTCAACCATCGTTGTTACAATCTGGTAGCAACTTATGTGAATTAGGTAAGAAAGATTAAAGCTTGGGGGGAAGACAAGATTACTGTGATTATCAACATTTGTATGATCACGATCCAGGTCTTGAAATCTTATTTCAACTTTGTCAGCATGTTCCTTCTTTTGCTGACTTCGTGGGTAACTATCCTGTGTGGAGATTGTCACTCCAGGTACAGAAGTGGAGGCTAATAAGAAAGCTCAGGAAATCTGCTTCAAAGCAGAAATACACCTTGCTACCTAAATGCCTGTGCAACTACAATTAAGAGAAGAAATAATAGAATAACATGCAATCTCTCTTTTAGAAGTCTGTAATCTAATTGAAATGATATGCGAACAGATGGGCAACATAGGGGTGTATACCTATAATCCTAGCTCAAGATGCTGAGGCAGAAGTATTACAAATTTGAGGCCAGCATGGATTATGAAGTTAGGGCTTGTCTCAACAATAACAACAAAGATAAGTAAACAATCTACTAGACTTGTGTTAAGCTTACTTAATGATAATAGCAAATAATTACGATTGACTACATGCCAAGTTAAATGTATCTTTTGACTCATTCTATTCAATAAACTTGGGTTCAGTTTATCATCTATAAAAACAAATTGACTCTTTGACTTAATTGCTATTAAGACAAAGGAAGACAAGTATATACTTAGCCATTCAAACATGTTGGAGTGAACTTGAATGGTTTTGAAATACTAAGTTAAACTTGAAGGATCAATGTCTCTGGTTCTTCCAACTTTTCTCATAGATTGCAAGAAAAACTTGCAAAGTCTAATTTTATGGTCAAGAATTTATCTGGAGAGAAAAGGGAAACCTTTTGAATTAAAAGAAAATAGAACTTTTATGTGAATATGAATATATTAGTGTTTAAATATGTATGTATATATTCATATGAATATACATATGTGTGACAAAGAAAAAAGAGAGGTGGAGAAAAGGAGAGGGACTTACTAATGTCTCAGGCTGGCTTCAGACTTTCTCTGTATCCCAGCTGGCCTTGAATTCAGCCCCTTGAATGTTGAGATTATTAGGGATTAACTACTACTTTCTTCTGCAGGAATAAATACTATGTGTGTGTGTGTGCACATGCAAATACATGTGTATGTGCATTTTTATATCTATTTGTTTCTCATAGTATTATCAATTTATCCTAGGGCTTTGCCCTTAGTAGGCAAGTGCTTTGTTACTTAAGCCACACCCTCAGCATTTAGATTTTTTCTGCTTTGTATACCTTATGTGTTTTTGTAAGGTAACAGTTTAATGACATGTTTAAAATAAAATGTGTAAGCACATATGTATGAATCTTATTAAATGTTTGAGGGTTTGTGATAAAAATGTTCGATTCAGCACTCATAATTATAACTTTTTTCCCCAAGTTGGTTAGGCTACTAAAAGTCTTTTCATCATACTAGGGTCCTTGCTGAAGCTTTTCCCCCATAGGGATGATCTAAAGTATAAATGATGGTAAGATAATTTAGTACACAATGTAGTTGTTATTATTTATTTCTCTCCATTTTCTAAAATATTTTCATTGTGTTCTGAAATTTAGCACTATCAAGTAGGAGAGAAATTACCTTAAAAATAAGAAAAAAAAAGAAGTATGAGGCAAATGCAAGAAAATTCATCACTGTTTATATTGCATGTAATTCTTTCAGTCATTTTTTTAAATTCTTTGTACTTAACTCAGTGTAATTATTACATTTTCAACTGCTTTAACAAAATACCAGTGATTGGTAAAGAATAGAAGGTTTATTTAGTTCTAGTTCTGGAGGTCCACAAGTGCCATTTTGGCTTTTCCTCAATGCTGTGAGAAGCTCATGGGAAAAAAATGTATGCACAAGAGATTATATGTTAAGACAGGAAGCGAGAAATATTATAGGGTCAGGAATTTAGTCTTCAAGGAGAGCATCGGTACTTCAAATGACCTTCAAATCAGTACTTCAAATGCCTTCCTTTTGGGACCACATTTCCAACAATGATAACATTGTGTTATCATTCTGTTTTCTCTTTAAACTATTCTTTTTATTTTTAATGCCTCATTGTGGCAGCTCTAAAGCCAGGTTTCCAGCTTTAAAACTGGCTTTAATGGCTTTCATGATCCAGGATCATTTTAAAATCAAAATCCTCACATTAGAGTCTCTGTAATCGTAAAATATTTAAACTAGTTCTTATGCTGGTCTTTTCTGCTGCAAGGAACCTAAGTAGCCAAGGGACATCTGTAAACCCAGCAAATCTAGGAGTGGATAGGTATGGGTATGAGGTGAAAATTCAGGAAACTACAGTCACATAGCAAGGACTTGTGATTTTTAGGTTTGGGCAGCTATGGAAATGATGCTTTGAAGCTCTGTTTTCCTGTAGAAGATACAGGTTTCTTTGACCTCTGGGATTTAAGAAGCTGTCTGGGTAACCATGTCTGTTAAGATTATAATGGTTTTATACTTATCTTACTGGCCTGGCCAGCCTATCTGCACATTGGTGCAACCTGGAACCAGGTTGGTCAGTGTAGGCCAGAAGAGATTTGAAAAACAGTAGAAAAGTTAGGACTGTGATGATGATGATCACTGTAGCAAATTCTTGCTCAGTGGCCATAGTCTCCAGGTCTTTTGCGTATACCACTTGGTGTGACTTCATGCATATGAGAAGATCCTGTAGAAAGTGCACAGAAAAAAATAGCATCAAGAAGAAAACTTAAGGGACATTCAGTAAGATAAATTTGGTATAAAACTGTCTCCCTACATATTTTTCAGTTTGAGCTGTAGGTTTGTTGGTTCATAGTAAACTATAATATAACTTGATGTATGAATATTGTAAATGAGTGTTGGTTCAAGTGGTGAATGTCAGCTAATTAGTACTGCATACATCTTACTTCCCGAAGGCCTCTGACTACATTTTAATTATTATTTTTAAACAGTTCTGTGCTAGGGATTACTAGGCCTGTCTGTATCACTCTTTCTATGTTTTTTTTTTCAAAGAAAAAATATATAAGCGAATGACTGAGTTTATGCAATGCTGTGGCTGGTTTGCAGAAAACAAATTCTATAGAAGAACCTATAAGAGAAACTTCATGTGTGATTAAGTGCACACTATGAAGGTGATTCCTCATTTTGGAAAGAAATAATTGTAATTTTTTTGGGTGGTCGTGGTTGGTAAGAAACAAAATTGTTTCATCAAACGATTTTTATCTCTTTGCTTAGCTTCATTTAAGAAAATTTTAATCTTTTATTAGAACTATTATTTTTACAACAAAGTGACATTTCTAATTTGCCTTTAAAACCTTTGGTTTTATTTCACAATGATTTGTTATCCTATTTGGTCAATATTTTAAATCTTTTGATGTGTTTGACAGATTTTTTTCCACAATCAAATTCTAATTTTGAATCCTTTTGAACTTTGGGATTTCTGGGGCTCCTGAAAGTCCAAAAGAGACCTATTAGATTTGTTTTATTTGTTCCACCACAGAAAATTTATTAAATGAGCATTTTTCAATTTTTTGATGATATCTTTATTGCTATCCTATTGAGGTAATATGCAAAAATTGCATAGGGTTTCTAGAAATCTGCTACGTCTTGGTATAATGTCACTGGTTACGATTTTGTTATTAAATTATACGTCACGGAAGTAACAAGCTTTCATCAGATCTTTATCCATAACTATTTGAAGTCTTATTCTCCAAAGCCACATTGCTTTGTTCTGATGTCTTTCTGGAAGCTGTTTGCAAACAACCATACTCATGCAATGTGATATCTTCAAGATGGCTCATGAAAAGGAAATGAACTCTGAACATCTACAGATGTTCAATAACTCTGGATTGGGTAAGAGTTTTCCAAAACTCTAATGAAGGAAAACAATTACAAAAAAACCCAAATTAACTGTTGAAGAGTTATAGGAATTTTACTTGCACCCCACCCACATTTTATTTTATTTTTTTGATGTTGGGGCTAGAATCCAAGACTCTGCGCATGCTAAATAAATGCTTTACAAGGGCCTACACCCTTAGAAACCCTTTGATGCTTTATTTGTTTGAAACATTGCTGGTTATTTTAATATTTTCTAGTTTTAAAGAGACTTTAACTTTTTTTATTATTTTCAAGCTAGTCATAGTTTCTTAAATTGTTTTGAGTTTTTATGAGCAACTCATAGACTGAGCTGGATTCTGAATTCTTCTAATTTTCTCTAATGTATATTTCTTGTAACTCCAATTAAGTATGAGAAATGCTTTGTTTCTGAGACTCAGTAGATCACAACTAGGTGGACTTGATCTATTTTTTTTATTTTTTTATTGTGAAAATACTGTACAGAGGGGTTACAATTACATGGGCAAGATAATGAGTACATTTTTTATCAAGCATTGCAGCCTCCTCCTTTGTTTACCCTTCCCATCTCTTCCCAGCCTCCCCCCTGCCCCCTCACCCAATACTCCCCCCACCACCAAAGTGGTAAAGTTTGTTTTCGACATGACAACTTGTACTTCTCGTTGTTGCAACGGGTCCACCTGTATCCCCTTCCCCTCCACAAATTATACCGACATCAAATACAGTGAAAGCAGGGGTTATACTGTGGGGGAGGGACATACAAAGTAACAAAGAAATAATATTATAAATGCGTTAGAAACAATCGCATGAAAGGAAAAAAAACCAAAAAACATTTGAATATTATCTTGGGGTTCATTCCCCTAACATCAATTTATCTGACCTTTTCTGCTTGACTCAGACATACACTAGTTATTGCAAATAAGGGAAACCATGGGACCTATGTTTCTTGGGGCCTGGCTTGCTTCACTTAATATAATTTTTTCCAAGTGTTTCTATTTCCTAACAAATGCGACAATGTCATTCTTTCTGATGGAGGCATAGAATTCCATTGTGTATATATACCACATTTTCTTGATCCATTCATCTACTGAGGGGCTGGCCAAGTCTCATGGCTTTATGTGTACGCTGCACATAGACTTCAGGGAGACACCTCTAGTCAATGCAGAAGAAAATGGAGTCACTCATGTCAGTCTTAAAAAAAAGTGGTGGATTATAATTATATGATAGCATCCCCTAAAGATTACTCCAGAACCATAACCTTGCACAACTATAAACTTGTACAACGACCACTGCAATGTTACATTAAAAATACCTCTACAAAGAAATTTGCTCAACTTCAGATTGGTGCCATTCTTATCATTAATGTTTCTGGGCCAAGGGCTATTGTTTCAAAATACCTGTGTAATCCTCTTCATTTAAAACCTTAGCTTGTCTCAACATCTAAACAAAAGCTGTATTTCACAATGCCATGTGTGTCTTCACTGCAATGCTAGTCTATACACACACACACACACACACACACACATACTTAATATTTAGAGAATCTCTGATCGTTATTTAGCTTCACACCAAAGACATTCAAACTGTAAATGAGGATAGAAAGTCACTGACTTCATGTTGTGGGCAGCTTTTTATTAAGACCGCGCGAAGAAGAGTCCTTAACATGATGAGATTTTTTCACCTGTTCACTTTGCTTTCTTCATTCTTATCTACATGTTTTGGCTGTACTTAAAATTTCACAATCAGTAATTTCTGCAGATGATGCACAAATGGTTGCTTTAGATTACCTTAATTGCTGCATGGGCAGACATCTGAGCAGTTGCTACTGCTTCTTGTGCACGGGGTTAAATACATTGTGAAAATATCCGAGGAACTCCTTGATTGGGATAGGTTGGCTATTTGTTTCACTCTCTATTATGATTATTTTAAACAGAAGCAGGGATTGAACTTTCTGCTTTGTGCATGCTAACCAAATTCTCTAATTCTTGAACCATACTAGTAGTCCTTTCGTTTGTATTTTGTTTCTGAGGCAGGGTCCCAGTAACTTTTCTTGGGCCAGCCTCAAACTTGTAATTCTTCTATCTCTACTTCCCAAGTAGATGGGGTTAAGATCTGTGCTACCATACTGAGCCTATTTCTTGGCTATTTAATTTTAGTTGGTTTGGTTCTTCTGAACCTGGATGAACAATACCAAACTCTTGGTATTGTTTCTTGCTCATAGTCACATAGGTTGTGTGTGGTACACTGTGTCTTCTCAATTGGTTTTAAATATTTGTACATAGCCATTGATTGAATAAAAAATGGTCTCTCTTTGTTTGGAAAGCCAAAAACAATTTCAAAGATCATGAGAACACTATGTTCTACAAATGACATGTTAAGGCTGCAAGCCACAAATGATCATGGATGAGAATTTCAATCATGTTTTCACCTAATTCAAAATTTGTCCTAAAGGGAAGCAATTGTTATACAAAATTATAATGGGCTGTAGTTCTAAACTGAGCTCCTGGCCTGTGTTGAACAACAGGCCAGACTAAAGCCAAATGGACTCACTCATACTGAGTAGAAGATAATGAAGTTGAGCTGTTAATTAAGTAGCTAGAACCTGAACTAAATCAGCTTTTCCATATTGTCTGAATCATTGTAATAAGAAAGTCCCCTTCTATTTTAGACCCTACTCAAATAATCAGAAGAAAGCTGATGCTGATCAGCATTTTATTTCAAGTAATGCTTTTGTCATATTCCCTTTTCCAGCCTTATAAAAACCTCTGTTACATCATTGCCTGGTGAAGAAAAGTCCATTACTGCATGCTCCAACATTTAATCCACCTGTCAAAATGGAAAGAAAATCCAGAATGCAAACTGAGATCAAAATTGAGACATTTAACAAAACTGATTTGTTGAACAGAATTAAATTTGGCCTATATGTTATTCTATGTATTTTATTTTTGTCTAAAGGTGTTTCTGTACATAGTAAATTGTATGTATAAACACACTGTAATCTAATCTTGTACCAAATAGCTGACTCTCAACAAACCACAGGCAGCCAATTGTTCAAATCATATTCAATACAACAGACATTAACCGTAAAGTCATAGTCTCTCTCCTCCTCATTTCCATTTTCTGTATGTCACTTCCTTTTTGCTCGCTATAAATATAACCAGGCCATGTGGAGGAACATCATTCTGAGCCATTTTTGGCCTGGACTGCTTCCCAATTCCAGAATTGCAGGGAAAGCCAATTAAGATGTGCAAAAAGTCATTTTTTTCTTTTTCTATCAATATTGTCTTTTAACAGTTCTGACAACCATAAGAAAGGACTGAAGGAAACTCCTGTGACTGACTCTCAGGACCCATTGTACAATGCAGGTTTGTTGTCATGGATCTCTTAAAAGTCCCCTTGTGGTCTCAGTTCCTCAGATTTTTAAAGTCATCTTGCTCTCTGCTAAATTCTTTTTACATAGCTTTCATGTTTGTTTATATTAAGAGAGAGCACCTAACATGAGGTACCAAACATTAGTTTGGGTTCTAAGAGGGTTCTGATCCCTGGCTTTGGAATTCACAGGTACATAGGTTCTCTCTTGGTCTTTATGTTGTAAACTTAGGTGAGGGAGGCCTTGAATGGTTGACTGGGCCAGCCAGAAATCAGCAGATAAGTGGTGATTAGTAAGGAAAATCATTATAGAAGTTGGTTAGAGGGATGTTGGAAACAAAGCCCAACTTGGGTGTATGTTTAAAGAACTTAAAAGCCCTTTGGATCTCACTATCCAAGAAACCTTAACCCTAATGATGTTTCCTTTTAGACCCAGAAGACCCGAGATCCAAAGAAAAAAGGGGG